TATATCATTTAACCGGAAATATTATCAAGTATAATAACATATTAGGTAACGCTTATATAATGTAATAGGAAGCGCTTACATTGACCTATTTTCTAAGTAAACAGTATATTTATACTGGTAATATTGCAAATTTACCTATTACATTATAATTATCGGTTTCGATGTTTTTTGAATCGATACAATTTTCAATGTATCGACACTTTATGCATGCACCTCATTGAGCATTCATTCTGGAAAAAAGTATCGACACAAACTTAAAAAGTGTCGATACATTATTTAGACCTATTTTCTCATAAAACCGGTATATTTCTATTGGATACATTGTAAATTTACCTATCACATTGTAATTATCGGTTTCGATGTTTGTGGGATCGATACTTTTAATAAATCTATCGATATTTTATGCGTGCACCTCGTTTGGCATTCATTATGGACAAAAAGTATCGACACAAATTTAAATGGTGTCGATACTTTATGCTGACCTATTTTCTTATAAAATCGGTATATTTATACCAGTTACATTGTAAATTTACCTATTATATTATAATTATCGGTTTCGATGTTATTGGATCGATACTTTTAATAAATGTATCAACACTTTATATTCTGGACAATAAGTATCGACACAAATTAAAAAAGTGTCGATACATTATGTTGACATGTTTTCTAATTAACCGGTATACTTATACCGGTTACATTGTTAATTTATCTATTACATTATAATTATTGGTTTCGATATTTTTGGGGTCGATACTTTTAGAAAATATATCGACACCTATTTAGCTAGTTATTGTACATACCTAAATATGTCCTGTGAATTTAATGTTGTACCCACCCTTCAACTACCAATACCACATCCTATTGAAAGCACGACTGAAACATGTTCAATGAATATTTACTTACATTTCCATCAACTCCGGGACCACTGAACTTGCACAACAAAATTTTTGTCATGGATCATACTGATGCAGACAATGTTAAGCCAACTGAGAATGTCATGAACAATTTTTCCACCCATTGACTTCATTTTTCCATCATATATCATTTTACGCAAATCAAATCAAATACTTGTTACATGAACTTTATTCAATATACAAATATAGATAACTACTCTTGTGATAAAACGATTTTTTTCAAAAGAATTTGAATGGCCACTACAAAATGTGTTGGCACATTTATACAACCTAAAATATAATTTTCTACCTATAATATTATATATAGGTATCCATATTTATTTTCTATCTATAATATTATATAATCGGTCTCAAATCATATTTATTTTCTATCTCCAAGTATCAGCACATTTATACAACATATAATATCATAGTCTACCTATAATATTTAATAAAAGTATCAATATTTATATTTTATCTAGAATATCACTTTCTACCTGTAATCGGTCCCAAATGTTTCTTTACTCCAAAACCCCAAACAACACATAAAAATCCTATTTTTGATTACTGTAATAATAAAAAACTAGGGTTTTGACAACGTACTTTTCGATTCGACTACAGCAACAAACAAATAAACTTTGGTTTAGAAACGCCTTCTGAAATGCAGCAAAAATTACACTTCGATTTGAAAAAATCATCCGTTCTATATATTTTCAGAGATATTTAACTATGCCTTTATATTTTCACCGGATATGTTATTTATATTTAATCGACACAACTATAAAAGTGTCGATACTTTTATGTCAGGTATCGATACTTTCAATAGTATAATTACCTATTTCTTTGAAAGTATCGATAATTTATTACGCGTACTTATTAAAGTATAAACACTTTAAATATATCCGGTAGCGCTTTACCGGTTTTGTCATTACGAGACCGGTTTTGTCATATTTTTACATGTTATATCGTTGTGGACCGATACATTGTTATAAAGTATCGACACTTTATAGGCGCTAAAACTATTTCTCTTTAAATTCACAAAGTGTCGATACTTATATTAAAGTATCGACATTTAAATATATTCGGTCGCTCTATATGATTTTGTCCTTTAGAGACCGGTTTTATTATATTTTTACATGTTATATCGTTTTGGATCGATACATTGTTATAAAGTATCGACACTTTATGGGCGCTAAAACTGTTTCTCTTTTAAATTCACAAAGTGTCGATACTTATATTAAAGTATCACACTTTCAATATATCGGTTGCTCTATACCGGTTTTGTCCTTTAGATATCAGTTTTGTCATATTTTTATCTGTTATATCGTTGTGGATCAATACATTGTTATAAAGTATCGACACTTTATAGGAGCTAAAACTGTTTCTCTTTTAAATTCACAAAGTATCGATACTTATATTAAAGTATCGACACTTTCAATATATCTGGTACGTTTTATCAGTTTTGTCTTTTCGAGACCGGTTTTGTCATATTTTTACCTGTTATATTGATGTGGATCGATACAGTTTTATAAAGTATCGACACTTTATAGGCTTTAAAACTGCTTCTCTTTTAAATTCACAAAGTGTCGATACTTATATTAAAGTATCGACACTTTCAATATACCCGATACCACTTTACCGTTTTTTTTCTTTTCGAGATCGTTTTGTCATATTTTTACCAATTATATTAATGTGGATCGATACAGTTTTATAAAGTATTGACATAAACCGCCAAGCTAAGTTTGTCGGTTGTCAAATTTGTTAATATTTCTTCATGATTTAGACCTACTACATTATTATTACTCAACATTTTTTAACGTTAAACCAAATTTATTAAATATTTTTTAATGTATCCAGTAACGCTATATATAATCCGCCTTTAGAGACAATCTCTTAATATATAACATAAAGGCATATTTACTCATACATGAAATAAATATAAGACACGATACCCAACGTGAGTCAATCAGCAAGTTTATCACCCTAATTAAGGGATTTTGACATTAAATATAGGGCACAATAACGAACACAAGCCTATCACTAGAGTTAAAGGGTTCTGACACTAAATACAAGGATTTGAAGAGAAACAGTGGCAAAATCATGGATCTCAACGAGCAAATTTAAGCTTAAATCAAACATGCATGGAAGGCTATTTTCCCAATAAATCACCATTTCCCTCTTTATTTCCTTGTCAAACATATTTTCATCTTTATTTTCCGATCAAACACCCTTTGTAGAAAGTCACGTCCATGCACCGCGCCTTACGCTAATGTGGCACCACGTGGGGTAAGACGTGACTCATGCACTGCGCCTTATGCTGACATGGCGACACGCTGGGTAAGGTGCAATGCATGGGCTGCGCCTTTGCCTTAAATTCGCCCCCCACCCGTTCAATCCCTCATCCCTCCCTATAAATACCTTCATTCTCAATCATTTTTAACACACCAAATCCAAATCCTCTTAACTTCTCTCAATACTCTTAAATTCTCTCATAGCTCTTTAAGGTATATTTTATTATATTTAATATTTTGTTAGTATTTTATTTAATTATTTATATTTTTAATAAATTTTTTAATAATTTTTTTTGCATTTATAAAATGGAAGGTGGTCTGCTTCGTTTGGATGAAATCATATATCTCGACATTTTGCTGATACGGTAACATTTTTACATTTTAATTTAATTTAAATTATTAGTAATAATTTATTTATTTAATGCATGATTATTAGTTTATAAATTAATTTTTGTAATTATTAATATTTTTAGGAGAGCGACCGTATATTAGATCCTTTTATCCGGAACCTTAAGTTAGCGATACCGACCTGTGTCTGACCGTATTTAGTCGAGGCTGGATTTGGTCACATAGTTAGATATGAAGGTCATTGTAGGATAGAACCAAACCTGGTTTCTGCATTAGTGGAGCGGTGATGCCGGAGACTTACACATTCCATCTTCGTACGGAGAGTGAACGATTACGCTTGAGGATGTTTTCATGCTCTTGTTGCTTTCGGTGGATGGGAATGTGATTTCTAGGATGACGCACTGTAATTGGACTACTTTGTGCCAGGATTATCTAGGAGGTGTCCGTGAAATTTTAATGGTGGTCGGATACCATTAAAATGGTTAGATACAAATTTTTAGAATTTGAGTGAGGACGCCTCAGAGGATCAAGTTAAAAAGTATGCATGGGCATGCATACTGCAACTGATAGGAGGGTTGTTGATGCTGGAAAAATCACACAACCAAGTTCACTGTATGTGGTTGCGGCATCTTGGCGATTTTTATTTGGTCGGATCACTTAGTTGGGGCTCGGTAGTTTTGGCATTCCTGTATAGGGAGATATGTCGAGCGAGTGACTACAGGAAAATGTTATCGGCGGATGTCTCCTTTTGCTGTAGTCTTGGGCATGCTATCGTTTACCCATTTTATGTCCTGTTGTGAAGAACCATTCATATTTCTGTTACTATTGAGGTAATTACAAAACTGATTTTGTATATTAATCATTTTATCCAGTGTATAATAAAAATTATTTTCTTGAATATGTGGTCTATTGACAGGAAAAATCATCGGGATCTATCTGATGAATTATAAATAATCATGTTACTAATCGATCAAAAGGTTGGCACAGAGGTTTGTATTTTAATGTTTGAAAATATATTTTTTACTATAGTTTTATAATTAGATTATTATTTTGATAAGAATTATATATATTTGTTTTAGTTTGAATGGGCTCCTTATTGTAATAATGATATGAGGATGTGCATCCACCTATGTTAAGGGGCCCATCAGATGTTTGGATGGCAGTGGTCTCTCTGATCTATTATGTGATTGTCGAGTGGCACCCCACTGATCGCGTGCTATAGCAATTTGGTTTTGTACAACCAATTCCGGAAGCATATCAAAATATGGACCAGTTGCATAACACAGATCGACGCGGCAAGACGGATATAGATTGGCTGGTGGAGCATTATGAGTGGGTCATGATGTGGGAGGATCGACATCAATGCATTCCCCATAGAGAGACCATTTATTTTGACGGTTGCATATGGTTATTATGAGTGGTTCAACAGTAACGGAAAATCGTTTCTGCTTTCCAAGAAGGAACATTCATTGACGGAACCTTCACAACAACCACCGGAACCTTCACAACAACCACCGTCTGTAGCGACTTACACCCCACAACCATATCTGATGCCGCTACCGTCTTTCCCTTACCAGATGCCGCCACCGGCACCGTCACAGAGTTACCCTTCTAGAGGATATTATGGTTTTATGTTTGTAGATCTGACTTGGGGTTCATATATTGGTTATTTGGCGGGTGAAGCTTTATCACCGATGATGCCGCACAGACATCTCCTTACAGTTTTCTCACTCATCGATGTCTGTGTTTTCTGAGTTTTTCCAGTTTTCTATGAGCGGTAGGTTAGTCAGTTATACACCTCCAGGGTCCTTATTCTATGGAGGTTCTACATCGTCATTAGTTCCTCATCAACAAAATGTATCTTCTCATGATGATGATGATGACGACAACGATGATGGTGATGATGATGACGACGACGATGATGGTGATGATGATGACAGTAAAGAGTCAAAACTAGTTATACGAAGAAATCCTCCTCGAGGCAGACAGCCACCGCCCTGCGAACACATTCACCGCAGACATCGATAGTTTTTTATATTTTATTATATTTGTATTGGCTTGTTTATTGGACTTTCTTTATTGTAATTTTTTTATTATTTACTATTTAATACTTAATTTATTTTGTTAATTTTGTTGGACTATTTGTTAATTTATTTTGTTAATTTTGTTTATTACCATTTAATATCAGTTATTGTAATTTTTTATTATTTACCATTTAATACTTATTGTAAGTTTGTTGTATTTAAAATTATATTCAAATACCAAATTCCTATTACTTTGATAAAATTTAATAATTGTGTTCGATAACTTTCTTAAGTTTGTCACTTATTATCTATTTTTTAATTAATCAGTGGTTATCAAATGAAATTAACTTTAAGTAAATGTAAATTAAACTACAAGAATTATTATTTGATAAACAACAACTACATCAGTTCTTCATCAATGGTTACTTGATGACAAAAGAAGTGGACATGTTCTTTTAGTGTGTCTTGGGTTTCTACAATGCCCGTATTTTTTTCGTGTCTAGATGTTTCTCGAATATCCATATCACGATGAATTTGAGTGGATTTTGGCCGACCACGGTCCCTCAATAAAGCCAGATCTGGTACAATCGGAACCAAATTCTGAACCTCATTAGGGTCTTTATCATTACTTATGAGGGAAACTCAAATTCGTATACCTTAAACACTTATGATAGTAGGTATACGGGATCCACAAAACAGTTATAGTCTTGACGGGTATACGAGCAAGCTGCTATCACATGAAAGCATGGATACTTCAGAGCTTGAAAAAACCTGCAGTCGCACCATCTGTCCCGTAGATTTACTTTTAATGACACAACTTCAATCACTTGAAGAGGTCGCGGCAACTCTGTGACACGAAACAATTCATGTGTTCTAGAGAAGCTTGTTACAGACATTCCATTTGATGATTCAATTTTTTTTGTAGATCTGTAACTAATCTAGGGTGATATACATGACCGCCTTGCATCCATGTTTGAGCTTGTCCCCCGAGCATCGCAAAAAGCACCCCAAAACGAAAATATATAGTTTTTACCAAAGCCACTACAGGTAAGTGACGTGCACCCTTTAAGGTCGAATTGATTGCCTCAGCCAAGTTGGTTGTCATGTGTCCATATCGATATCCACCATCATATGCATTTGTCCATATTTCTTTATTGATGAGGCTGATGTAATCGTATCCTTCCTCGTTCTTCGCCCAAAAATCTTGAAGCATGGATTCAAATATTTGAGGTAGTAGTTCGTAACCTGAGCATAAAATGTAGAACTTACTAACTTTATTTCTTTAAAAAATGAAAATGATCGAAAGAAAAAAAAAACTACAGCAGTTTCACTTACCCATGCGCACAAGCAATTGAAGCTCATCATTCTTCTTGAACCTTCCATGGTAGTTCGTAGCAATGTGTCAGATACAATATCTATGTTGGATAAAGGATGGTTGCCACATTGGACCCAAAGACTCCATTGCTACTTTAATCCCAGCTTCACGATCTGAAATGACACATATTTTTTCCCTCGTGATAACATGTGAATATAAGTTTCGGAGGAAAAAGCCCAATAATTTGTATCTTCTCCTTCAACAATAGCAAAAGCAACTAGAAAAATGTTGCGATTACCATCTTGGGCAACTGCCAATAGTAAAACTTGCTTGTATTTTCCATACAAGAAAGTTTCGTCGATCTGGACCACAGGCTTGCAGTATTTGACAACATTAATGCATTGTGGGTAAGTCCAAAAACCCCGTAGAATTGGCATTGATCGTAAAGAACTTGACCATTATGGTATGCATGGCAGGTTTCAAACTCCACAATTGTACCATGATTCAACCTCCGTAACACCCTAAACCAATTTGGAAGTTCATTGTAAGATGCATCCATTCGCCGTGAAGTTTTTTAATGGCATTCTGCTTTGCCTTCCATGCTTTTTTGTATGAGACGAAATACCTATACAACGATTGTATGGCTGAAATCAACACAGCAATAGCTATATGGGAGCTTGCTTTTACCATGGGCATGATGGCTTGGCAGATCACTTCAGAGTCCAAGTTGGGATGGTATTGATTGATCCTTCCAGCACAACATGTGTGAAGATCGTTGTATACCGTTAGTTCTCATATATTGTTTTTCCTCTTCCTCTTCGATACACGAACCATCCAATTACATCCGTTTTCACGTCAGACACAGTGGCATACATACTTTTATGTCGTAGAGCGGTCGACTATAGATTGAACATAATTACGGATATTGTAATTTTTTATAGCCATCATCGTTTCTTCTTTGCTATCGTTTCTTCTTTGCTTGAAAACTCCATGCCTAAAGATAACTCACCATTATTTGCAGATGAGTAAAATCCATAGTCATCGAGATTAGGTATATCCACAATTTTTGCCTCGTACATTACATCATAGTCAGCTTCATACATGTGTGTTGGAGGTTCAGTTTGTGCCACATTTGTGGGAACTTCATCTACATCATCATCATCATCAGATTTGAATTGTGGTGATTCTGGGTGAATGAATAGTCTAGTCTCAGCACCATCTACACCTAGCTCACGAAGTGGTTCTTCTGGTGGAGATGATGATTCCTCCATGCTCTCCACATTTAGGTCGAAGAACCTACTACTTCCATGCCTTCCCCTTGAATTAGAAGGCATATCGACATTGAGATCGAAAATACTCGCAGTAGAATGCCTCTCCCTGGAGCTTGAAGCCATCGTGTCAAATGGACACTGCACAGATTGTTGCGTCGAGGGCATCTCCATATTAAGGTCAAAGAAATTGGCAGATGAATGTCTTCCCCTTGAACTGGACACAATGTTGCCATATAGATTGTTCGTGGACCCACATCGGTATAGATCGTAAGGAGTTGCTGATGAATATCTCCCCATTGAAGTTGATGGGACTGCACCATGATGCGAATTTCCTATTATGACATTAGAATCATTACACATTACTGTAGTCAGGCTATCAACTTCATCAGCTTGTTTAGCCAGCCTATAGTGGGAGCTTAATGATAGACCCCGAACAACACGCACTTCAACAAACTTTGCATACATCTCCGTATCGGCGTCTGAATAATGATTTTGAGAATCAACCATAATTTCAATATCATCATTGTTCGATAGTTTGAACGCTGTATAAGTTAACGGAAACAATGATGTTGGAAATCTGTACTAAAGCGACGACATTCTTCTAGTGCTTTCAAATGAACCTTCCTTGAAATCTTCGTTATCATCTCCTCAAGAGTTATGTTTCTCTTGAAGGATATTTTAACATAATGATTTGATACGAAAACAACGCCGGTTTCATCTTCCCGAATTTCTCAATCATAATAAACAATAGTTGAAATTCGCGTCATTCTTAGAGTTTGAAAGTGAGACAATCTTATATCTGGAAAAAAACCTTAAACAAGCCTAATTAAATAAATAATATATGAATTAAAATATAACGCAATAAAATTTTTACACATAAACGTAAATAATTTAAATAATATAATTTTATATTATTACCGTATCGGCAAAAATATTTCAACGAATGCTCTTGCTTTCCAATTTTACAACCACAAAAATTAATTGAAAACAATTAATACAATATTTTTTCAAATAATCATATATAATTATAAAAAATATTATAAAAAATTACCTTACAACGAAAGATCGAACGAACTTCTGAATCAAAGATAAGAGGATTGTCGGGTGATATTTAGGGGTTGAGAGGATTACTGTTTGATGTATTCGGTTGAGAGGTTGTTGTGTGGAAGTTTACGGGGGAGAGGGGTATTTATAGCCGAGAGGAAACGCTTCAAAGCCGAGAAGTGCGGATATAATTATACAAGACGCGACTCATGCACCGCGCGATTCTGACTCGTGTCATAATTGTAGGAAGGCGCGGCCCATGCATCATGCCTTACCCAGTGTGTCACTATGTCAGCATAAGGCGCAGTGCATGGGTCGCGCCTTACGCCAGGTGGCGCCACATCAGCATAAGGCGCGGTGCATGAGCCGCGTCTTTCTACAAATGGTGTTGGATCGGGAAATAAAGATGGAAGGGTGTCTGACATGAAAATAAAGTTTAAAATTGTGATTTATTGGGAAAATTGCCTGCGTAGAAGGGTTTAAATAAAAGAGGAAACAAGATGTAAAGCTCTACTAAATATATACAGAAAGAGTAATAGATTAAATATAAAAGTACTTGACACAAAATAATAATAAAAATATGAAAATGGATTTCACATGAGAATCTTCCACAAAACAACTAACAGTGGTGGTGAAAATGTAAGAAATCAGAATAGAAAGTCCAAATAGAAAATCAAAATAATTGTTTTTGTAAAGTAAAAGGTAGAACTAGAATGAACGTTGGAAAAACTCAAAGGATCAAAGGATGGTTTAACCTTGGTTATTTAAAAACACGATGGCCCTTAATGGCACTTTATTGATACTATAAAAATTAAGAAAATTGAACTCATTTCATTTGCCTTAAAAATGACTAATGTAATAAAATAATCCTAACGTTTGATAATAGTGTCAAACTTATTCATATTATTATTTTTGAACATTTGACCACTGAACTTTTAATTTGGGTCAAAAATCACTTTTGATGAATGGAAATCGTAAGTCAACTGATGGTCAACGCCAGATGTAGACGGAGCAAGCACACATAGACGTGGAAACTAACGTGACATATCCATGTCAGAGATATGATGATGTGGCTCTTCTACGTCAGAACTTTTAAAAATAAAATAAATAGTTTTATGATCAATATTTTTTATACTTGTCATTCTCTGAGTGGTGTTTGTTTAAAGTAGCTATTAAAAGGGTAAATACAAGGGAGAGGAATCAAACCTGAGCAAAGTCTATAAAATGACACAACCTTTGCCACTAGACCAAACTCTTTATTTGGTTTAATAATAAACTAAATAATATTTAATAGATATACTATTTAAATTTAATGAAAAAATTTAAAACACTTGTTTAAACTTTTGCATATACCATGAATGAACCACATTCACAACACACTATGAGTATGTCTATATTACTCGAATTCAAGTGCAAATATTAGATACGAGTATATGACTATTCTTTTTTTTTAAACAAGTTTTTCCATATCCAAATAAGTTTCATGGGGTACTCTGAAACAATAACAAAGTTGGACCAACTATCTATGCATTCAATGTCAGAAATCAAAGTCTACTGGAGTCGGTACATACGAGAACAATAGTGATGAACACATATATTGTAGAAATTCATTCTACATACAGCTAATAAAAAAGGAAAAAACAAATCTTTACGAAAACATTTCATGAAAAAATCCAGAATTTCATGATACCCGGTTTAAATTGTATAAGACTTTCATTAATTAAATGTGCAAAAGATACATAAGCACTCTGCCTAACATCTCAAGATTTTCTGTATTTATCGATATATCCCTGCAAACAGAAAAAATAATGTCAATTTTATGAATGAATTACATTAAAAAATATATATAACACTAATAGACACTTGATAGAGAAAAGCAATATTCACACTTTGGGTTCTAGTTTAGTTGGATGAAGGGGATTGGTAGAAGAAACAGAGCATTTATTTTATAGAACGCGCACAGAATAGTGCCTCTGGAATCAAAGACTCACCTCAACAAGTCTTGTTATTTTTGGTTGGGCTGAAGAAAGATATTACCGGTGGATATGCTACATTCAAGAGTGATGGACCTGGATTAGAGAAAGAAAATGTAAGAGACATCTCTCCTGCATTGGTGGAATCAATGCTATCACGAACAGCGTCATACTGGCTTTGCGGAGATGATAAGCCAGAGGTGACAAAAAAGGATGGCCGAAAGGGTACTTAAGGTTCCCAATCATCTGAAGAAATTTTTATTCTACATTCAGAAAAGTGCAATGGATGATCCATGGCAATATCATTTACAAGAAAGTTTTCTGGTTTAGAATTAGTGAAGGGGGAACCGACTTGCAGCAAACAAGATAACCTTGAAGTACAACGCTCACTGTCATTGTCCAACATCTTTTGAGCACAAAGAGAGCATGCACTTGATCAATAGCTTAAATTTAATGGAAAAAATTAAAAACACTTGTTTATACTTTCCCCTCTTCTCCTCCTACTTGGCTTTGGCTTCTTCGCCTCCTACTTGGCAGGTTGTGAAGGCGTCTTCGCCTCTGGAACCTCAATGTCATCACCACCACCATGTGAAAGCTTTACCCTCAACAAAACACCCAAAGCTTGCATAACTCTCTGATCTTTCAAATGTTCATTCAATTTGCTAGGATTCCTCTGAATTTCCTGCATCGCTTTAACAAAATTTGGCTGCTGTAAAAACACCCTAGTATTCGGATCTGTCGTTAATTTAGCTCATATCTCCGGCCCCTGAAAAGCGTCACCGAATGGTTTCGAGAAGTCCAAGCCGTATCCGCCGATTGAGCATCAGCCAAGCCAAATTTCAATGCTTCATTATTAGTAGAGGGGTCACGTAACCCTAAACCCAATCTATTTTGGGAATATTGGAGATTGAGAAGATGAGATTATGAGAAGAGGTGAAAGTATAAACACATGTTTTAATTTTTTTCATTAAATTTAAATAGAGTATCTATTAAATATTATTTAATTCATTATTTAACCAAATAAGAAAATTGGTCAAGTGACAAAGATTGTGTCATTCTATAGCTTTTGCCCAAATTCGATTCCTTTCCCTTGTGTTTCCCTTTTCAATAGCTACTTTAAAAAAAACCACTAATAAGAGAGTGACACATATCATTCTCTGATTAGTTATAAATAATCAAATATAAATAATATTATTCATAAAATTATTTCTTTTATTTTTAAAATTATGATGTGGCAGAGAAACGTCATTATATCTCCGATATGGACGTGTCACATGAACATGTCACATTAGCTTCCACGTCCATGTGTGGTTGCTCTGTCTGCATCTGGCATTGACCGTTAGTTGACTGACTGTTTCTATCCATTAAGGGTGATTTTTGACCCAAAATTAAACATTCAGTGGTCAAATGTTCCAAAAAAAATAATACGGGTAAGTTTGACACTACTATCAAACGTTAGAGTTATTTTGTTACATTATGCCTAAAAAATTTGGATCAAAACCTTTGTTCTAAAATACTCTGAAAATCTCTTGATGTTGTTTGTGTGTTCTTCCTTTTCTAGGTAAGAACCTAGTTTCTAGTCGAACCTCATCGCGTCAGTTGCCGTGGAAGCAATGTTGGCCACCATTTTCAGCAGGGAAGATAGGTAAAAAAAGTTTTTTTGATCCTCAGTTTTCCCTCATTTCAGATCTACCTTTGGACTTCCTCGGAGACCCTCAAAGTTGGTAGGATCTGAAGAGCTCCATTCGAAATGTCTCTTAAGTCCTAGGGTTCTTCATCCAACTAAGGTAAACTCCATTCCCTCTTATTTCTATTTCGATTCTAATCTCTACGCATACAACACGATAAACTCTAAGAAAAAATAAAAATGGAGGCCAAAAATACCTAAAAGAATTTTTTGTTTCTCTGATTACTTTTGAATCGAATAAGAGATTTTTTTCTCTCTGTATTGCTCAGAAGAACCCTAATTACATCTTATTTTTTAGAAAATGAGGGAGAGACCTTTCTCTTTTTTTGGAAATAAAAAAGCTCCCTCTTTTACAATTGTATTTACAAATTATATAGAGAATTTCCATGGTGTTTGCATGCAAGGCAGCATGAGTAGTTGGTTTCTAGGCATGTCAAGCGTTGGTGGCAACAATTGGGGTAGAGATGGCAGCAACACTTGGGGCATCTAATGCCCCAGATATTAAGGGATCTTTGTTTTTTAACTTTTTCTTTCTTTTTTTGTACTTTTTATAATAATAATAAATAATAATTTATTAGCAAATATTTTTTGAGATACAAATGGTGATTATAAACGTGATAAGAAAGCCGCAGAGAGAAATTATTGATGTTTTTAAAAAAGTGGAGATAAACTTACCTCTCCTCGAGTGGTTCGAAAAGTGTCAAGTTATGTCAGATTCTTAAAAGATCTCTACACAAACAAAAGGAGGATTACTGACAATGAGAAGGTCAACTTAGGTGAAAACGTGTCGGCTGCCATTCAATATAAGCTTTCATCTAAGGACAAGGATCAAGGTATGTTTGCGATACCTTGTAAAATTGGTAAGGTAGGAATAAAGCGTGCTATATGCGATATTGGTGCTTCTATAAATGTTATGTGCTTTTGTTTACAACTTACTTAATGTCGAGTCTTTGAAGGAACATGTGTGACAATCCAGTTCGTCGATAGATCCGTCATTTATCCCGAAGTAGTTCTTGAAAATGTGTTGGTAAAGGTAAACAAATTTTTTTCCGGTAGATTTCTATGTCATCGACATGGAAAATGATCGAACCAACACTTCCTCCGAATTCTACTAGGCCGACCTTTTCTAAGCATGACACATACCAAAATCGACGTTAGGAGTAAAATTCTTACCATGAAATTCGACGATGAGGTTGTTAAATTTGACGTTTACATGACGATGAAGTATCCAAATATTGTTGCGAACATTAGTTTCGTTGATATTTATGAGCCTTTAGTAGATGACTTTGTGGAAACTAACTTATTTGATGATTTGTGCAGGAAATTGAAGGATAAAGACGACAAACTCAAAGAGTTGAAAAATATTTCCTTTGTTAATTCAGTTTTGCGTTTAACTCATTCAAAAACTAAATCGTTACCTTCTATTTTGCAGGCACCAAAAATAGAGTTGAAATCATTGTCGGAACGTTTGAAGAACTCCTTTTTTGCGAAGACGATGTATTGTCAGCTATTATTTTGGACAAGATTTTAAAACTGGGAAAGATCTAAAGAAATGCTTATGAGAATGTTCAAATCTACAAGGACAAAATGAAGGAACATTGTGATCGTAGAATTTCTCATAAAAATTTTCTTAGTTGGAAAAAACTTATGAAAATGAAATGTTTCTCGCAAAATCTATAGACTAAATCAGATCGTCAAACTAAATGATGTTAAACAAAGCGTTATAATTGTAGACAACCCATTTTTTATTCTTTTCGTTTGTTTAATTTTTATTTAATTTAATTTAATTTAATTTGTTTATTTTTGTTGTGCATTTATTTTATTTTTCTTTGAATTTTCAGGTACTCAAATATTTTTTATCCAATTTAAATGAACAAATATGGAGCTGGTTACAGAATTTTTAATTGAGCATGAGAAGCATTTTTTTAATTTTTAAAGGAATACCATCGAGCGATTTCAAAACCCTTCTCCGTAGCAATGAAACGTGTGTTTCATTACAGGGTGCAGGTTAGCAGAACCCACACCAAGCAATCAAAATTTGTGCACATTCGCCTACTCCAAATCTTAATTTTGCTGCTAAACTTAATTTGGGCCCCACGCATTTATCTTCTGAAATTTAATTTGCTTCATCTACTTATCCAAACTCCAATGTTTACCCCACCAATTCCAAAAACACCTGGGCCTCACGCATCTATCTCTTTTCAACCAACCAAAACCCCCCCGCAAATTTAAACTTCGCCTTTTTCTATATTTATTTTTAGGGTAAAGTATAGTAATGGTCACTGAACTATTCTAAATCTTTCATTTAGGTCCATAACTTTTAAAACTTGCAATACAGTCTTCCAACATTTAGTCCATTTGCAATATGATCCCCGCCATTGCACTGTCATTAGTACGTTTGCAATATGGTCACTAAACTTTTCAGGCGCTTACATTTAGGTCCCTCAACTTTTAAAACTTGCAACACAATCCTTAATTTCATTCTAAACCCCAAATTCCTTTTCGATCTCGAATTTCCTTTTTCCCTTCTATCTTCTCATTTCCAGCATAACTTTTCAGTCGGGGATGCATGGGAAATTCTAATCTAACTTTGAATTATGTGGAGGTGTTGACTTGAATAAGGATCTATTGAGAGAAGACCAAACCAAGGGACTATCGGGACCATCAATGATTCAAGGTGTAATGTTAGATATATGTCATCTAAGGTGAAGCATAGATGTTCGATGAAATGCTTGTGAGAAAAAAAAATGGGATTTGAAATGCAAGTTGACAAATACTACTAAGATGAACTAAGTATCATTGTTAAAAGTCACCAACAAAGCTGGAATTATTTTGTATAAATGGCATATAATAATTTCTTCGTTTGATCATTGTGGTTAAAGATTTTCCAACAGATGATCAAATATAATGAAATCACAAACAGCGCATTCACCTCTTAGTCTCTTTCCCCCACATTCACTCTCGTTTGGTTTTTGTTCTTCAATTTTCCGCCATCTAAAATTGTAAACCCAAGCAGTGCTATGTCTTTCAGCTTTTTATTTACAAAGAAAAAATGAAGGAAGAATTGTTGGAATGCAACACTGATTGCGTTTATTTCTTAGCCTCTCCCCTCGCTTGCAAGAAGGTATTTATTTTCTCTTTTGGGCTATCCAGAAGTAAGATTTTTCTCTTTCGCACTTTCCCATTTTCAGCTCGCATTGTGTGTTTTGTTGAAATTTTCATGTTTCTGGAACTGCATGTCAATGATCTGGATATTCAGTGTTAGTTTTGAACCAAAACCATCTAATTTTCTTTCTTTCTTTCTTCTTAATCAAATTTTTAGTACTCCTTATGAAAGATATTTAGTCCATCAGAATAGAAGTGAAAGAGGGTCATAGGCTAAATTTTTTTGATC